CTCAAGAGAACGGAAAAAGAGGAAGTTAACAACTTAATGGGACATCTCAAGCAACTGGAAAAGGAAGAACATTCCAACCCCAAACACAGCAGAAGAAAAGAAATAACTGGGTGGTGCCTGTGACTTAGTGAGTAGAACACCAGCCCCATATATAGAGGGTGGCAGGTTCAAACCCGGCCCCCAGCCAAACTGCAACAACAACAAAATAGCCTGGCGTTGTGGTGGGTGCCTGTAGTCCCAGCTACTCAGGAGGCTGAAGCAAGAGAATTGCCTAAGCCCAAGAGCTAGAGGTTGCTGTGAGCTGTGATACCACAGCACTCTACCAAGGGCAACAAAGTAAGACTCTGTCTGTTAAAAAAAAAAAAAAAGTTAACTACAGAAAAGAACCAAAATTAGAGCAGAATTAAAGGAAATTGAAAACAAAACATACAACAGATCAATAAATCTAAAAGTTGGTTTTTTGAAAAGGTTAATAAAATAGATAAAACCTTTGGCTAACCTATCCAGGAAAAAAAGGGTCAAATCTCTAATTTCATCAATCAGAAATGGTAAAGACGAAATAACAATAGACCCTTCAGAAATTAAAAAGATCCTTAATGAATATTACAAGAAACTTTATTCTCAGAAATATGAAAATCTGAAGGAAATTGACCAATACCTGGAAGCATGCCACCTTCCAAGACTTAGCCAGAACCAAGGGGAAATGTTGAACAGGCCTATATCAAGTTTGGAAATAGCATCACCTATATAAAATCTCTTAAAAAGAAAAGCCTGGGACCAGATGGCTTCACATCAGAATTCTACCAAACCTTTAAAGAGGAACTAGTACCTATATAACTCAACCTTTTCCAAAATGTAAGAAAAGAAGGAATACTACCCCAAACATTCTATGAAGCAAATATCACCTTGATCCCCAAACCAGGAAAAGCCCCAACAGGAAAAAAAAATTATAGACCAATATCACTAATGAACATTGATGGAAAATATTCAACAAGATCCTAACCAACAGAATCCAGCAACACATCAAACAAATTATACACCACGACCAAGTGGGTTTTATCCCAGGGTCTCAAGGCTGGTTCAGTGTACATAATCTATAAATTTAATTCATCACATAAAGTAAAAAACAAAGACCATATCATTCTCTCAATTGATGCAGAAAAAGCTTTTGATAATATCCAGCATCCCTTCATGAGTAGAACACTTAAGAAAATTGATATAGAAGGGACATTTCTTAAACTGATAGAGGCCATCTACAGCAAACCCACAGCCAATATTGTATTGAATGAAGTTAAATTGAAATCATTTCCACTCAGATTAAGAACCAGGCAAAGTTACCCATTGTCTCCACTGCCTTTTAACATTGTATTGGAAGTCTTAGTCATCGCAATGAGGGAAGAAAAGGTGATCGAGGGTATCCATATAGGGTCAGAAGATATCAAACTTTCACTCTTCGCAGATGATATGATTGTATATCTAGAAAACACCAGGGATTCTACTACAAAACTCTTAGACGTGATCAAGGAATACAGCAGCGTCTCAGGTTACAAAATCAACACTCATAAATCTGTATAGCCTTTATATATACCAACAGTAGTCAAGCTGAAAAAACAGTCAAAGACTCTGTTCTGTTCACAGTAGTGCCAAAGCAGATGACATATTTGGGAGTTTACCTAACAAAGGACATGAAAGATCTCTGTAAAGAGAACCATGAAACTCTAAGAAAAGAAATAGCTGAAGATGTTAACAAATGGAGAAACATACCATGCTCATGGCTGGGAAGAATCAACATTGTTAAAATGTCCATATTACCCAAAGTAATATACAATTTTAATGTAATCCCTATTAAAGCTCTGCTGTCATACTTTTAAGATCTTGAAAAAATTAACACTTCATTTTATATGGAATCGGAAAAAATCTCGAATAGCCAAGCCATCACTCAGAAATAAAAACTAAGCAGGAGGAATTAACACTACCAGACCTCAGACTATACTATAAATCGATAGTGATCAAAACTGCATGGTACTGGCACAAAAACAGAGAGGTAGAAATATGGAACAGAATAGAGAACCAAGAGATGAACCCAGCTACTTACCATTATTTGATCTTTGACAAGCCAATTAAAAACATTCAGTGGGAGG